TAGTTTGTGTGAGATAGTCACAGAAGTAACACCTGTATCGTTAGTTGGCGCGTACTTAGTAAAATTTGTTGTTAAAGTGGTGAAAGGACTAGTTCAGCGCTGTGGGCAAAACGGGACTGATATGTAAGTGACATTTCATGAAACTTTGTTGGTTTAGTTCTAAATTATGGTTTTGTTAATACGCTCTGTTTGCATGTTCACCTTATGTTTAATTATAGTCGCATGCATTTATGGTGTCCTGTGTGCAGCGTACTGCTGTTTTCTTTTAGATTGCATGTATTCTTGAAAGATAGATATTTGTTTTATAATGCAAGCTATAGTTATTTAAGTTTTCCTATATGTTGTATTTCAGTTTACGATTACAAATCAATATAACCTCCACGTCTCGAGTGTAATTCGTTGGTTATAACGTCGAATCACCGTTAGCCGTCACATAAGGCTTTCTCTGTGGTTTTAGTCAATTTCGTGATCCGTAAAGTAGTCCCAATTTGAACTCGGTGTTTCGATTTTACTTCGTGAACTTCGGCGAAGTAACACGAATTCCAAAGTGTAAGACAAAGCGAACGTATCATGTGGTTTATTTACAATTTTAAACAATTGAACTTCTATACTTTTTAAAGTTCGATGTGCTTCTGAATTTCGCAATCGAACAACATTTAGGTTCGCAAGGGATCTAAATGAATATAAACAATTTTGTTTATGTTCATGCAGAAGCTTTATATTAAAGACTGGCACGTGCCGCCAGAACAGGCGTCTTGTTGTTTCTAAACTCACAAGACGAAGATTCTATTGATGTCTCATCATTCATGTTGGGACGAGTTGAATCACCGAAGAAACCGGTTTTCATCATCTTTAATTGACAGTATTTATATTAATTATACGAGAATATGATCATTTGAAAGTCGTGGAATTGTGAGACACAAAACGGCGCATTACAGCATTTTCTGCGCAAAAATATTTGAAGCCAGGTAAGATGTGTATAAGCAGATCGCGTGATATGACTTTTATAATTTATAAATCATAGTCACTAGTCAGTTATCAAAATATCCTGCTTGAAATATTTCGGCACGTTATATTTCGTGACGTTTCATACGACATGAAATATTTTATCAAATGAGATGTGGTTGAGACTTGAGTTGAGAAAGTTTTGTACGATCTTATGAACCCAATGAGGACGGTTAATCCTCATCGCAAAACGCGAATGTTCTTTGAATATATTCAACTAAATGTGTCACAATTAATGCATATTATAATATCAGTAATATTTACAGTGCGCGCGTAGCTAACTGCATAGAAACACGGAAAATATTTTCTCAGTATTTCTTAAATCTCTTATCTTACAGAATGTTAATGTTAAACTGATGGTTGTTAATTAATATATCCACGCATGTTTGGTCAATAACGACATAAGTGCGATGCTGAGATCTAAAATACTTGAAACCAAGCATTTTCTTTCTATATGATTAAAACATTTTTATAGTCCTCTCCATCTATATCAATATGTATTCAACAATGTAAATCATGCATGTTCCCTGGCTATATTATAAATATTTTTTGTTTACAGCAGATATGCAGTGCATATACGCATACAACATAGGTATGGATGTAATGTCAATCAGCAGGTATCAACTGCTGTAATACATTTCATTTAGTTATATCTTTGTAACTACATCTTCAACAATTGAAAGTGTTACAAATTTTGTGCCACTGAGCTATAAAGCAAAATCTTTTATATTTCATTGTTAAATTAGATTGTTAAATCAGACCACCTTAAGTAGAAGTAATTTTACAATATTAAAAATAGAATCATAAATCATAATATTATAATTTATGTATAATAAGGAATGTTTCACATTGATTAATGAATCATAATCTAGGTCAATACCACAAAAACCATAGCTTATATTAATAACCCAATATTGCCAATGAATGTCAACAATGTCAAATGACACTTTCTCTGACTAACTAAAACCTTCATTTAAGTTGCCTAAATTGTGACAATTGCCAAATTTAATAGGGATATATTTCTTTATAAGTGAACATGCATAACCATGCATGCCTATAATTCTCTTGAAAGAAATTCCTTCCTATATACTAGCTTCATTTAAACAAACGGCCCCTAGCTACCAACCACACTATATATGTCTGATCCAAAGCATTCAAAACTCTTTAACCATTATGCTTACACAATATATGTTTCATATCACTTATCTTAATTACCCTGCGGAAATGGTGACAACTAGTAAATGATAAATCATTACCATCAGGCTGGGTTTATTCTGTTTAAATTATATGTAAAAAGGTATTTAAAAATTATTGCTATTCTAAAATTTAAAGAGTAATTATGTATGAGTACTTATTTATGCTTCTTTTTCAAACCACAGCCATGTATATATCACTATAATCTAACATGATGATTGTAATTGAAAATTCCCCAAACCTGTTGAATATATTCTACTGTTTTATCCATAGAATATCTCCCAGGGGAAGTGTGGGTCTGCCAAGTATTTATTGTAAACACTTAAATACTGAAATATACATTATGTAAATAAAATCTTAGCCAACAATCCAGATCGAGCTTTCTAAATTAATATTCCACCAGCAAAAGTTTGATTGTAAAGGCTGAACTAGCTAATTAGAAAAAGCCAATGTTCATAAACACAAAATAACTGAATCAGTCATAACTATGAATTGAAGAGTTCACCCAGCAGTCCTAGATTTCCTCAGTTTGCTGATATACTGTTTTATATATTTATGAAAGTTTAAAACAAGGATATATCTCATTATCTCTACATTCATGATGAATTGTGCTGTAGTGTGGTTGTAGGTATATATGCTATAAGGTTGTAGGTAAAATGGTAAATTTAATATAACTAATTGCACATATAAACATCTACTTGATTCTACTATATAAAAACAATCAAAACAAAGAAATACCTTTTTGTTCCAAGTATGACATATCGGAGATCAGAAATCGATTTAAAAGACTATTCTAAGAGAACAAACATGAGGGGACATGTCGCAGCTCTCGGAAGCTTTCGTCCAATTAGATGATTTTTTTTCTATGCTTTCTAAAGAACGAAGCTATGCTATTGGTTGAAACAGAAATGTATTGTAAAGTTCAGCCAATGAAAATCATTCTTACGAGGAGTTGCGACAAAGTGAAGGAGTCCAAATCACATGACTTGCTGTGAAACAGTTCAAGTATTCCTTTACGGTATGATGACGGTCAGACGAACTGCAAAGGTTGCTCGAAGGAGGCGAGGAGGGAAGGTGGCAGAAAGAGAATTTTATGCCAATATTTCTCCCAACGCAAAATTTTATCCGATCATTTTTAGTCCGAATAAAGGGCCTCAACAACCCCCGTTCTCCGTTCCATAATCTATCAACGTTTGGTTTGAACTTTGTGAAGCGGCATTGACTCAATACAAAAGGAAATTGACTCAAAGTACTCAAGTTAGGTTAGCCGCGGAAACTGTCACTATTAAATTATAATTTTAGTTTCCCATGTAAACTGGCCTAACCGGGCGCGATTCTCTCAGTTTAGTCTCTTTTCTTCGTCAAACAACTGTGACTACATTCACTACATTTATATGGTGGCTACAATTTATCCGTCACTTCATAGAAATAGCCAAAGTAGTTGTAAATAATGTAAATAAACTGCGGTGCATATTATGTCTATGACTATGATGTGGAACCTCGACGCGTAAATCGATACAAAACAATATACTTATAATCAACACTGTATACCACTAAAATGATTTGATTATTGCACAAAATGTTCGTTTTGTGAAGTATCATTGATGTACTGTATGCAGAATATCAGGTATCGACTTGCTATCGACATAATATACATTCGTGTAAGAGATCTATCAATACATAAACAACACAGCGTCGTTTCTTTCTAACCTCTTAGCTCTATAACCTCTATTTATGGAATAAACCTTCCAAATAATATTTGTGTTGAATTGAATGCTCGTAATTCATAACATAAGTTGATAAATTGCGTAGATTCTCAAAGAATTGCTCGATTATTACGCCCAGAATGTTTTGAAGCAATGCTCGTCGCTCCTCGTTTCTTTACATGTGAATAATGTTCAAGTCTCGACTCTCGACGGCACTTGCGCAGTTGCGACGTATAAGAAAAAATCGGGTGTTACGGTAGGTAATTCTGCGCAAATCCCTTTAAAACAAAACCCAAACCGCGGAAAAGCAATGCTTCAAAATTTACAGTAACCGTCAAAATTCCTCAATATTTTGGTGAACTTCGCAAAAAGGATATAGTGCATTAATAAATAAAGCAAGTTAAACTGATTTAAAAACTCTAAATTGAGACTGACTGACTGACTGACTGACTGACTGACTGACTGACTGACTGACTGACTGACTGACTGACTGACTGACTGACTGACTGACTGACTGACTGACTGACTGACTGACTGACTGACTGACTGACTGACTGACTGACTGACTGACTGACTGACTGACTGACTTACTGACTCGTTTGAATTTTCGCCACTCATCACAAAACTGCAAAGTTTCTCAAACTTTGCACTAAAAAGGACAGACCATTTGATCACTGATGGGGAAATCAAATTTTATTCACTAGACTATAATTTATAATACGCCGACGATTATCATATCGTTAAGTATCGTCAACGCCATTGCCATATCAAATATTCATGATCTCAATCGTCTCAGTCTTACTTTCAAACCTCTTTCACATTTGAAAATTTGACATGGATAAAAGAAACTATAGTGCTATGGTTTTACTTCAAATATTTCACACGATTGAGAGGTGTAAGAAAGTATATTTTGGGGTTAAGTTAATTTATTCCTGTCGCAAACAACGCGATTTTTTTGAGACTACCCTTGTTACCCTAAATATAATTGAACTAAGTAATGGCACTAATATTTATTACCTTAAAATATAAAGGCGGATTTCCACTTTCAGCGAAATCGTTCGCTAGCAAAGTATTTGCATATTTTCTTTTGAATTTTAAAAGTATAAATAAATTAGTTCGACTTTACTGTTCTCAATTCAAAAGAAAATAATTTTATGCAAGTGAAAATCCGGCTTAAGATGTAGGTTTGGACAATATGCTTTTTCATGTTTACAGTTTACAGTCAGCTTAGGACTATGACAAGGGTCAAGGATCCCCAAGTCTCTGTCGACCAAATCACATGACTTGCAGTGAAGTTGTAAATGGAACAGTTCAAGTATTCCTTTGCGTGTCTACCAAAACTCCTCAGTTTTCCAAACTTCAAAGCTTTACGGTATGACGACGGTTAGACGAACTGCAAAGGCTGCTCGAAAGAGGTGAGGGGGGTGGGGAACAGAAACAGAATTTTATGCCAGTTTTTCTCCCCATGCATGAAAAAGTCCGACTAAAAAATGAGGGCCTCATTGAGGGTTAAAATTAACGCGACAACTGTCCTTATTTAACGGTCTACCTGAATCTGCATGCAGTATCATATATAGCATCGTTAAAGAAAAAAATAAAGAATATAAGATATACTTTTATATAATACGTCAAACGTCCTGTCGTCCTCTTATTGTAGATGTATCTCAATCCTGATTTGAATCATGAGTAACCCAAAAGGCTGACGCCAACTCTTCTTTCACCTTCGTAACTTAATCTGGAATGCTGAACGATCAATTGATCAAGGAAAAGAATGTCACCATTTTGCCAATCAAATCCAGCAGCATTTTCCCAAATACACCGTCTATGATTGTCAACTTCTTCAGATGTAAATTCAACTCCGTCTCCATATGAAGAATGGCACGGATACTCCCTGTTCGCTAATTGCAATCGATCATGGCATGGCATATCAGCGTAGTAACTACCATGCATTGCTGAAAGCTGATTAAACCATAATTTCTCTCCACTTTTAACATGATGTACAGTTGGCGGTGTATTATGCCAGTAAAACAAAGTATTCCCTTCCCAAAGAGATTCGTAACCCTTTTCTTCTAAAAAGCCAACAACCTTTTCTTTATCTTCTGTTCTGAAACGATTCTGCCAGCTTTGATAAAGATTCTTATCGCTATCTTTACTGTGTAAACAATTCCAGTAACGAATTCGTTTTTCTTCGCATTTTTGAACGAAGACAGGGTCTAAGCTGGTGTGGAGTTTCCTATTGTCACAAATTGCTGTCTCTCCACCCCACGAAGCTTTCTTTAAGCAGCTTATAATGAATATCTGAATAGAATAAAACATAAAAAAGCCTCATCGAGTCTGATACAATAATTTTTTTAATATAAAAAAACTTTAACTTAGGCTATGTGCACATGCGGTAACGTTTTCGAGCGTTTTCACATTCGTTTTCATGCCAAAACGATTTCAAACACCGTCAATTTACAATAGAAGTCTAAGCTAATTTAACATATTAACCACATTTTTCCTTGGATCGTGTGTCAAAGAAATAAAATAGACAAAAAATTTTTGAAAACGCTCCAAAACGACGCTCGTGTGCACTTATAGTCTTAATCTCATTAAGATACCGTGCAAAACTCAGTTCAAGAATACAATATGAAATTTTTCGTTTCTCAAATCATTTCGAGGCATTTTATTCGAAGAAGGATAACTTTTCGAAAAGGTTCGAGGGTTTTAATTTCCGGTAGCAAGCTAGATTAATCCAAGCTAGTAATTAATACATAAGGAGGTAATTAATAAATTGTGTGCTGCTTTATGAGCTGAAAGAAGAATTTTTTTGGATGAACTAGGAATTGGAATTGGCGACTCAATGAGCAAAATTATATGCCAAGAGCTGTTCTCTTGAACCAAGCTGCCGAGATTCGACGAAGCCTGAGATGATTTTGAGGTATTGGAAAAAATCTTTATGAAACCAAATTACTGCTGGCTTATAACATGCACAACTGCAAAATATGATTGCACAGTGCAACTGTTTCAAGACTCACGCGGAAGACTGGATGTTCATTTCACATTCGGTCAGGTCACGACAAAAAAGAATTTCGTGAGTATATACGTAAAATCGTGATCCTAGGTTTCACTTCCATAAACAGGCCTAGTTCATTATTGTTAAATTTTAACGCTGTACTTTAAGTAATCTACATAAATCACTGAGATATATCACGCATCTGCATGGTGCACATTGTTCAAGCTAAAGACAGCCATCTTGGCAATGTCAATCCATATTATAGAGAGGACTCGCTGATGTTACAAGAGTTTCTCTTAATTTCTCATCTTTGGAAAATATAACGAAATCCGCAGAACTTTGGGAAATAAAAAATCACTTCGCTATGGAGGTGACATGTACATGAAAATGATCCGGTACATTTCTGTTTTGTGCAATCGCACTAATCCGAAATATAATGTGTTTGGCGAGAAAAATAAATGGAATCAAACGCAAAAGTTGCCGATTCTAAACTGAGAAGTGAAATGTTTATCAACCTAAAAAATGCAAACGTTTGCTTTAGACTCTTTAAAAGACTGTCGTTGTGTCCTGCGGTTGATATACAACAGCTATAAGCATCAAATGTGAAAAGCATATTAAAGCAACCTTGAGGTAAACCTGAACAACATCCGTTACATATTAGTATATTTCACTTGACTGGAATTGTCCGTTACATGTTGGTATATTTCACTTGAACCAAACCACAAACATGAACAGCGCTTGAATTTTTTCTTTGAAACTTCCAAATTTTTCAAGCCATTTTTTGTTTCAAAAAGCACACAACTAACGCGATAAAACAGAGTTAAATTGTAGCGAGGTGTTTTGAACGCTCTCTAACATGAACCAGTACAGAAGAACCCTAAGCTTTGAAAAATTCCCCCCTCCCCACTTTGTTTTCCCGTTCGGAAAAGTTGTTAAAACTATGAATACCTTCGGGAAACTTGTTGAGTAGCTCATCTCGTTATGAGGCTCAATGGTTATCACATTTTCGTCGTGAGCACCGTCGTCGACATTCTGTTGAACTTCGTATCTGGGTGAAACTCCTCCAACATACTTAAACGGTTCAAAACCCAAGTTGGTAACCCATTCTGAAAGGCATTTTTCGTCGCTGTTTGGAAGACCACGAAATAGTATTGCAACGGCCGTACCACTCTTTTCATACCTAAAATACAAAAAATAATTAACATATTTCTACATGAATGTTTCATTCTTCCATTACATTGCCACATGATTTTTTCCTGAAAAAGCAAATAGCTACAAAGCCATAATTTGTCAAAATATATAGTAGGTGGACACTGCGATTTAGAGCAATGGCTACGTTGTGAGAAAAATTACGCAGATTCTTTTCTAGACTATAACCCAAGATGGACAGTTTTTAGCAGAAGTTGGGTGAAAAATTAATTTTGCGCTAATACTTAGCCTAATATCTAATTATATATAGGGAAACATGACGGTAAACCTGGTTGATAGTGCAAAAAAAGCTTTAAAAGGATTCTCAGTTATACACACTTACAGATGTGACTGGATGGTTAAATCTGTAGGAAGGTGGCTTTTTGCTGGATTGAACGGAAGGATTTGTACAGAATCGAGTGAGGAAAATAAGGATAGCTACATAGCTACAATACAATACAATACAATAGCTACATCAATTGCATGGAGACACGTACTATCAAGTCAAAACTCTTAAAACCCAGCTGAGATCGGAAGTCGTTCAAGTATGGTACCCAACGGCAAGCAGATATAGGAAAGCGATCCGGATTAATTGCCTTGGAAAAAAATGTCTCTGTCGTCCAACTCCCGATATCAGAGAAAGTGAGAAATCGAAAGCCGAGGCCAAAACTGACCCGTGGAGTATTCTCAGTTGCACGACGGGACTCGTTTGAACATGTCCTTAAAAAATTCATCTTCGGAGAGTACTACAATTGGAGCATAGGTAGCAAGGTTTGTGACAAAAATTGTGATCTAGAGAAGGAACAGTGGGTTCTATCACGTTCAAAGGAACTGAGAAACAGCGCATTGCTTGGATAAAAAGAGTTCAAACGCGAAATGAAGCTGTCAAGATCAACTACGGTTTAATCTACAAAGAAACAATGAAGGAATATTTGAGTGTGCAGGAAGACTGCAAGGATTCAACCCAATTTACCTGCTAGCTCTGGATAAGTTTACTGAAAAGCTTGTGATTGACGCCTACATTCGCACACTGCATTGGGGAGTCGGCTTTACGATGACAAAGCTGTGAGAGATCTACTGGGTTCTTTGACTACGATAGAAAGATTATCAAGAAATGCCACGGTTGCCAACGTGGTTTCAGGCGGAAAATATGCTGAACCCACAACGGGTAGAACAATTGGATCTTTTGCATTTCAAGTCGTTGGCGTGGATTATGCCGGACCCATTCTTTATTGAACTGCGAATCATGGAGAGCTTAAGTCATATATTTTGCTGTAGTAGTTGCTTCCAGACTTTGCGACTACTGAAAGTATCCACAGAATAAAGAGGTTCGTCGCCAGAAAGGGTCGGCGAAGAAAAATATACTCGGATAACGGCAAGGCAAGACTAAAAATGGTTATGAAAGAAGAGCAGTTTTACAACGTGCTAGTTGAGCAAAGAATTGAATGGCAGTTTAATTTTTCGCCGGATTCGTGATGGGGCATCCAGTTCAAGCGAATGATGGGTTAAGTCAATAAAAGAAAAGCTGTCGAAAAAGCAGGCCCACTTTGAATCGTGAAAGGAATTAGCAGAACTGTTGTTAGACATTGAACTATAATTACTATATATAGAGGAAGTTGCTGCCGCAGCGAGCGAGCCTGATGCGAGCCGGGATATTCCACCGTACCGAAGTCAAATATAGCCTATTCGCGTATATTCGACCTTCATCATTTTTCATCGTGTCAGTCTTTTCTATTACAGGAAGTACATATTCAATAATAACTAAAACCAATTAGCAAAGAGATATATTCTGAAAATTAAACGCTACATGTAATTCACGAACCAAACTACTCGATAATAAATAGCAACCACCGCGACTGGGATTAAATGAAATATTAAACTCAATCCTCACTGATTTGGTTCCTATAGGAACCAAAGTTAAACAGCCTTCATACAGACTGATCTATTACTTGTCTAACAAATCAGCAAACTTGTTCCTTGCGCATTGCCTTCTTATATAGAAGTTTTGTGGAAGCGAGCCGTTATGCTTCAGGCAGCATTCCTTAATAGAAATCAGCCTGGCATAACAGAATATATGAATATAGTCCCCTCAATTTTGACGCCTATGGAAGTACATTCCTCACATTTGTTTTTTGCCAAAATAAGTACAATTAATGATGGTCAAAGTCATATTCATGGAACTTCCTGCTACGTGTCAGGTTGTAATGTCTCGTATGATTTTGCACCAACCGTGCACGATTTAATTCGGTCTTTTCTTATCGGCTATGAGCAAGAGCTGTTATAACTCGCCATGGGTGTGATTAATCCTCAAGCTGCAGTATTTCCCATTGATTATAGAATATATACAGTTAATGAAATAATTGTAATTGTAAAATGTTAATCATAAAGTTACCATATAATCATAACATATATAGTTAAGTAGAAACATGTTTGAAATGAAGGGCTTCGAAGGGCTATGGATTAATAACAAAAAGGCAGTATAATAATATTGCAGTTGTTTGTAAATTTATTGCAAATACAGGTCTACTGCCTGGTACCCCTGCTATTAATTTACCCCTCTCAGCGAGTACCCCCACACCTACGAAATCGCCCTGGGTCGATCTCTGCACTTGGAAATTAAAGCTCGAATGATAAAGCGTTTTAGAAAAGTCTTTGCGAATATAATTTAAATATGTACAAAATAACATGGGCTTGTGTGTCATATTGCGCAATAATACATATAATTGATACATATTGAGATAAGCATACAACTACAACAAGGAGCGTATTATATAAATCAAATGCTTAAAGTAGCGATCAAAATCGCCCAATTCAGTTTCAATCACATTCGAAATCTCAGTTTAATGGCATGGTTTAATTTGTACTTTGTAGTCCAAATTTTCCGACTGTTAAATGTATAAAAGTAATATAAATGTAATAAATCGTTTCAATGAATCTAAATATACCTTTGATATGCCTGATCAATAATCTCTCTTGATCTCAATGCCCAGTGTTTCATACTAGTCTCCTGACCTTTCTTCGCTTTAACCAACATTGGAAAGTCATCTTTTGGTCCTGAAAGATATTTCGGAAAGCCAAGTGATGTTGAACTTGCTAAATATTTTCTTCCAGCCAAGGGCACCGACGCCTGTAGCTCGATCTCACTCAAGCGTCCACGAGTGAAATATTCGCCCATATGGAGACATCTTGCACTCTTCAGTAAATACCCACGCTTGAATACAGCTCTTGGAACAAGCCTGGTCATATTTTGTCGAGGAATAAACCGTGCTGCCATAGTAAATCGAGCTCTAACCAACATCAACTTTTGTAATACTTTTTTTATTCACAACAACTCGAGCATGTAATTCAATATCCATATTTACATAAATAAGCTCAGGGATTGGTAAATTACTGAGCTAAATATTTAAAATGCTTGGTGGCATAATAACTCAGTACTATTCGTTTTGAATTTCTACAGAATATTTTTAGATAAAAATTCATCAATGTATTGCAAGTTAAAGCTGTAGTAATTTATTCAGCATTAACTCGTCTTCAAATCACTTAAACCACTTAAACATGTCCTGTGCACTGAACTTTATCGCCTGTATTCTAAGAGCTCACTCACACTCATTGAGTGGGAGATCTCAATCTTTTTATAACTTTTCCATGGTGATCAGTCAATGCAAACAATAGCTTTATATTTAATGTCTTACCTTAAATCAGTGATTAAGAAAAAACTTTCTCATTGATCAGCAATAACCAGGGCCGTAACTAGAACGATAATTGGGGGGGGGGGAGTTTATTCATACATTCAGTTCTGCCCGACGTATTTCTATTGTAAGGTATAGCTCTTACAAAAGAAACCCGTCGCGGGCAGAACTGAATTTATGAATAAACACCCCCCCAATTATCGTTCTAGTTACGGCCCTGCCAATAACAAAATTTCTATTTTACACTCAAAGAGTGTGAGTGAGCCTTTTAAATTCAGGCATTTGACTCTGGCCACATGAGAGTGGTCAGTGTCAGTGCATTTGAATCTATGTTAATAAATACCACTCATCCTCGAGGCATAACTGCTCTGCTTCTTTCTCCTCATTTGATTCCACGTTGTCGGCTTCGCAATTCGCATCCAATAGACTCCAGGCTTGACTGGTGGATGTGTTAAAACTACTGTGTTCATTTGTGGACAAAAATAGGAGAATGAATGGCAACTCGGATACATATATAGGCTTTGATTCTTTTAATATCCATATTATAGAAATAGTATAGATGCCAGTTGAAAATATGCCATTTCTAATTAAACTATGGGTATATCGTATGAAACATTATGGGTATAGAATGTTTATTTTATTTTATATTTTGACATAGGTAATTGGAACCAAATTGTAGTTCTTATATAGTTATAGGTTAATTTGTAACAATTGTCTGAATTAAACTAGCGTTAGGACGTTAAGGTTAGGACGTTATGTATATGTGGGCAAAAGGGGAACAAAATAAGTGATTTGTTGATTAGTTAATTGCGAATTAAGGGGTGTAGAAATAGAAATAGAAATAACCAGATGGGGTTGATGGAATGTTGTTGGACAACCGCCAACAATGTGGTGTGTTTAAAATAAAATTTTTGTAAAAGGGTTTTGTTTGTGTATGATGGAGTTCCTGAAGAACCTATGTCGTTATGTGTGTAGTAATAGGTTGTGTAGTGTTGTTGGTGCTGTTCAAATCAAAGTTATGTGAGGAAGTAGGTAAAAAAGTAAGACAGAAGACAAGATAGTCAAGCGTGCGAATCAGTATCCCCGTACGCGGCGTTTCATCCTTTTGCGGACTCGTCAGCGGGGAGCAGGGTTGGCTTTATGTGAAAGAACCATGAAGATAAGAAGTGAGTAAAAGTGGTGTGTGTTTATAGCAGAATCATAAAAAATCAAACCTGCGTGAAAGTGTATTCGTAAAAGGTAAGATAGTAAAATTACACTGTGTGTCTTACCAAAGTTGTTGTTGAACTTGGATAAACCAATGCGATGAGTCATCTTAAGGTTGTTGTGAAAGCGAGTAGAATATTACCAGGAATCGGCTTAAAAATGCTTAACAGCAGAGCTTGTATTCGTTCAAAAAGCTTGATCCAAAAGGGGTCAGGGATTACATATTTGTGCATAAAATGCGTTAGTATGTTACGTCACTGGGGTCAGGTGTCAAAGTCATTGTTGGGGATAGTGGGGGTTTACGTGTCAATAAACAAGGGGGACTGTTTTCTGGTTCATTGTATGAGATTGATTCAATTGTTACAACTAGAACTAAACAATATGGCGAGCTTGGTGGCGCTCTCTCCGTTCCCTATAGGGGTATCACAATGTTTATTTTGTTCAAATCATTTATTATGTTCCCCTTTTGCCCACATATACATAACGTCCTAACCCTAACGTCCTAACGCTGGTTTAATTCAGACAATTGTTACAAATTAACCTATAACTATATAAGAACTACAATTTGGTTCCAATTACCTATGTCAAAATATAAAATAAACATTGTGATACCCTTATAGGGAACGGATAGAGCGCCACCAAGCTCGCCATATTGTTTAGTTCTAGTTGTAACAATTGAATCAATCTCATACAATGAACCAGAAAACAGTCCCCCTTGTTTATTGACACGTAAACCCCCACTATCCCCAACAATGACTTTGACACCTGACCCCAGTGACGTAACATACTAATGGATTAAGCCTTGACCCTTTTGGATCAAGCTTTTTGAACGAATACAAGCTCTGCTGTTAAGCATTTTTAAGCCGATTCCTGGTAATATTCTACTCGCTTTCACAACAACCTTAAGATGGCTCATCGCGTTGGTTTATACAAGTTCAACAACAACTTTGGTAAGACACACAGTGTAATTTTACTATTTTACCTTTTAGGAATACACTTTCACGCAGGTTTGATTCTTTATGATTCTGCTATAAACACACACCACTTTTACTCACTTCTTATCTTCATGGTTCTTTCACATAAAGCCAACCCTGCTCCCCGCTGACGAGTCCGCAAAAGGATGAAACGCCGCGTACGGGGATACTGATTCGCACGCTTGACTATCTTGTCTTCTGTCTTACTTTTTTACCTACTTCCTCACATAACTTTGATTTGAACAGCACCAACAACACTACACAACCTATTACTACACACATAACGACATAGGTTCTTCAGGAACTTCATCATACACAAACAAAACCCTTTTACAAAAATTTTATTTCAAACACACCACATTGTTGGCGGTTGTCCAACAAATTTCCATCAACCCCATCTGGTTATTTCTATTTCTATTTCTACACCCCTTAATTCGCAATTAACTAATCAACAAATCACTTATTTTGTTCCCCTTTTGCCCACATATACATAACGTCCTAACCCTAACGTCCTAACGCTGGTTTAATTCAGACAATTGTTACAAATTAACCTATAACTATATAAGAACTACAATTTGGTTCCAATTACCTATGTCAAAATATAAAATAAATATTGTTGTATACGAAATGGTTTTTGAGATATAGTCATTTTCGTGCAGAGTTTTAAATCTAACTCTACTTTCGATCGCGATGCGAAGACAAATTACCATATGTTTTGCTCGGCCTCGGGCCTCCAGCATAAATGCGATAAGCTAAAAAGCTCTAAGTTGCTTTATTTCATTCATTAAATGTTTATAAAGAATGGCATTTAATTTTTTTTCGATAGCTCAAACCGCTCCGAAGTTATCGCGTATTCATTGCAAAAATCCCCTGTCTGGCTCTACATTCGAATATGAATGTGGAGCCAGGAATGTGAAAATAGAGCCAATTTGCTCATCGTGGGTATAGAAGAATGTTTAAATAGTTTGGTAGCTTCAATGGCGAAGCATCTGGGCGGAAAGATGTCCTATGATATAACCCTGGTTATTTAACCGTGATTCCACAGAATACTTATCTTATCCTTTTTGCGTAAGTGGGTTCGTCAGTCAGCAAGTATTGTAAATGGAAGCAATCACCCCCCTGCCAACCCGGCTGTTTTTTATATTTGCAGGGGGGTGATTGCTTCCATTTACTGTACTTGCTGATTCATTTACCCAAAAACACTGAAGTTGTCCTTCTTATAGATACTCTGTGGAGTACAGGTTCTATTGAGAATTGAGAAGACTATTAACTCATTATGGGCTGGTCCTAATGTCGGGTGTCATAGAAGGGACCTTTATTGAATATCTCCGCAAGTATTTAGGCTAAAGATACCGGAATACCACCAAACGATAGCGCTTGAAGAGATCATATAAATGATATATTCAAATTGGCAGATATTTATAAGCCGCACTTGTAATATAAGCCAAAATACTAGCTTGCGTTGTTATCTCAAATTACCTGCCCATGGCAACCATATACTTTTCGAAATTCAATGTTTGTCAATTTATTTTGTTCTCTGTTGGCTTTAGACTGTCTTAAGTTTGCCTATTATCATTCTGTTATAACTTCGATGTATTTTTGGTTTAGGATGTGCAAGAGAATCGGAGAAATAAGCCATTTTAAGATCTATTAAAGCGATGAGCCTTGATGAGCGTTGTTAAAGCCCCGTTTACACTACACTGAATTTATCGGCACGGCACGGCTAAAATGGGCACCCGTACCCAATTTTATTAGTGTTAAGGCTACCAAAACAAAGGCCGAGTATAAATGAAATGGGTACGGGGGCTCATTTTAGCCGTGCCGTGCCAATAAATTGAGTGTAGTGTAAACGGGGTTTTCAAGCGTGTTTAGCGCTTGCTCGGAATGTTGTCACGCGGTCACCCCCTAGCTAATTTTGGCCCCAAAAATCGATTCCTGGCGTAAAATTGGACAAAGGGGTCAGTTTTTCGGCTTTTTTTGCCCGAAATTTTTGGTGAATCTCTTTATTATTGTGAAATGCTTGCCGTGAGCGATGCGATAATACATACCATGATGCAGATTATGAATGTTTATGTAAAAAATCGGCAAAAATCGTCTAAAGGCACGATTTTGAAGCTAAATATATCAAAATGTGATCCTAGAAATGTGAACTAAATCACGGTAACCAGTTTTTGTTTGCGTTTTGGGCAATATTCTAAGGATTAGGCCGCTTTGAGGTATAATATCGAATAATAGGCTTAATAGTAATAATAGCTAAATTGCATGCATTTTAAAGTAAATATCATAGCGAATTTGAAACATATAGAACTAAAAAAACATCTATCTACTGAGGACAATGTCCTCTTTTAAATGGTTTAATTTTTATTAAAATCAGCCAAGTATTTGCACAGAAAATGCAAGTTAAAGTGAGCCAACCATTTTTAAAGGTCATCTGATCAGCTGACACCTACAGCTACACCGGCGATTTTTTAGTCTTGTCTTGGTGTATGCTATTACCTGGTAAGTGAATTTAATAGAGTAGGTTAATAGAACATTCCAAGGTTAGAGACGCCATCTTGCAGGGGGTGCAAAGACAATAGAAAATTCAATGGCGACATGGATGACTGATACCCGTCATGGGAGAGTAATTATCACTTATTCATGTCGCCACTGAATTCTTTATTGTATTTGCTGCACCCCCTACAAGATGGCGTCCAGTAACCTTGCAAGGGTCTATTTACTGTCTCCGGCTTATACACTGCGCACGTAATTGATCAGATAATTCACAAAATAACATACGCTAGAAAGACAAAAACGTCGAAGAAAATCGCCCGTGTATAACCGCGGCTTTAGACTGATCACCATAATTATTGTGTAATTGAAAACCCCGCGCATGTCCGTTTAATGGCAACTCAATAAAGTTAAGCACATTTTTAATAGCCAACGTTTTATATTTGCTGCTTTCGTGTGGTGCAACTGCAATTAATTGAAAACACTCCTGCTCGTATCATTTGTGGTCTTAATGAATATCGGTCGTAGCCAGTGGCGTAGCCGGCACGATAATTGGGGGGAGGGGCATATTCATATATTCGTGATACGCAGGATTAATTTCCTTTCAAATCAATTGTCTTTACAGTCGGTTAACTGTTAACATGATAATATTAATACGGGCCCCTCTAATTATCGATGCTGGCTACGCTACGGGACAAGAAACTTTGTAGTATCGTGTAACTAAGCGCTTGAATGGGTTCCTATCTGATCTTGCAGTAATTAGAACGACGAGTATTTTTAATTTTAAACTTGAAATTGAAAAAAATATTTTCAAAAATTTGAATTATTTAGAACATATGTGATAAACATAAGTGATGCAAAAATTGTTTGGGTTTTATATATTATATGTTGATTCTTAAAAGCCAGCCAGGAGATGATCAATAAATTTGTAATGCATCATCGACTAGAAGCTCTCTTGAATTGGACCCCTTGATATGAATTTCCTGGCGAATTTCATAATGACAGAGTAATGTCATTTTCACACTGCCGTCAGAACATGTCTTCAAAACCTATAGGGCTTGTCAGTGTATGTGAGGGTTATCTGGAATATCTCAAAGCATGCAATTTCTGGTTGGTCAGTATAGAAATCCTGTGTTTGATATGCAAGCTATGGCTTCGACATGCACCTCTGCTTCCTATCCGCTAATTCCTCAGCAGACATATTTTGTTAATAGGCGTGCTGGCATGGCGGGTGCGTCGCGTTTCGGCCAGTTAATTGCATATCTTTAGATAAAGAGTGGAAGATACTTTGCACCTTTGAGTGGCCCTTCAGCTCCTTCTAGCCATCTCACTCAATTTAAGGACAATTTACGTTAACCAGTCTCGCTTGTCACGACCTTCACACAGTGTAATCGATTATAATACAGCTAGGGTGCCGCAGTAAAAACGAAACCCGAATTTATTGGGAGTTCAAACGTTTTAAATCCTAAAGGCATGGGTTTTTAAGGCCTGGTTCACGCTATAGCTCCTATGAATCGGGGATCCATTGTATTATATTTCGACAAACAAAGCACTTTGCGCATTAGTGATCTTAGACAAAAGGAATCGCAGATTATGACGACAAGTGGGAACCATGCTTAAGTCTTAAACTACTGTAAAAAATAAGGACGTGTCAGTGTGCATATACTGTAAAAAATAAGGACGTGTCAGTGTGCATATAATTTCAGCGAATATGTAATTAATAAATTCTGCATGTTTACTGGGACACGCTGTATAACTGAAATAAATCAAGATAAGAGCATGATTACCTATATAAAGGGAGTTTATTGCAAAACAGCTGTGGAGCTTACCAATTATTTGCAGAATTACAAAATATGCTTGGCGACCTGATAATGAGATGGTTATTTTTATTGTTTTTCTAAAGGCACGATGCAATATTCCTGGCGATTTGCAATTCAATTCCACTTTTGAGAGATGTAAATTTGGGCGCTGTGAAACGTTTGTACTTATTAAATTTACGAATGTTTTCTTATACATACATTTCAGAAATTCAGGATCGGATTGGAAGTTACAAAAAAAATTGCATCGTTTAAAACCGTGTTTTATAGTTAGCAAAGGCCCCTTGTAATTCACTGAAGAGCCTACCGTTGTAGAATAAGACGAAATAATTATAAAAATAAAACGGCTTCAAATGACAACGCTCATGAAAGTCAACAGTTTGAATGCTAGTTAGCGTGAATAAACAAAATCTGTATCCTGTACGTAAGTAGTGCATGGATTCAACACACATTAATGTCACACAAGGAAATCAAATATAAATTTGATTATTAATAAAGTATTAGTAGAGTCTAGTTATATTAAATGCCTTTCTCTGCTAATGACTTTCTCGTCAACTTAGACAGGTAGTCAAGTATGTCTCATTACTCAAACTGATGACACTTACGAAATTTACTTTTGATATGCAAATAATGCTTCGGAATACTGAGGCACATTGACATTTCAAAGTGGAGGGCTTGGTACATATAAACCTTACCTACCAACTTTGTGTAACCAGTTGGCCTTCGCTCTTCAGGAAAGGAACTACAGACACAAAATTTTCATTAGTTTACCAGGTAAATATTTTCTTTTGCTTCCTTTTTGGAACTCAAACCTTCAAAATACTGCAGTTCATGAAATGTTTGCTTTTCGTCAAGTGTAATTTTCTCACAACTTAGTCATAAAAATCAAGTCTGCATATTGGGATAAATTTCGAGGTGCTTTGTTTATTTCAACTTCGAACACAACATTGGTTTGAATATAAAACGTAAAGTTGTTGCTAAAACAATGAAGAAATGTTTGAAACTCTTATTTTCATTGTTGGTTGAAAGCGTGAGAACGTACTTCGCCCCCAACGTACAAGCCTCGTACTCGCAATCAAGTCACGAGTACTTGCAATTACGTGCAGAAACAATTATTTCATGTGGTAATTTTAGTTGTTATTTATGATTGCATGGTTGTTTAAGTTCTATTTTAGTATGCAAATTTATATAATTGTTAACAAAAGGACGCAATAAAGACGAGTATCCAGAAATCCAGACCATATCTCTGCGAACACTCATCGATTGACCAGTTTACGTTTCGTCCATTCCTTACAGAGAGTAGAATCAGTTTTCGCAACCAGGCTCGTACTACAGTCGGTGATCTGACGAAATTAGTATTCTTTCCCCGCACAGTTCGCCAATGTGGGGTTTCCATCCAATAATCGACCAAGCGTTACTTGGCGACATTCCATTTCACTTCAGAGCACAATCAATGTCATTATTATCGTCAAATACATTATGAATATTATGTTTAAAAAACAGTGACAGTGCTTCTATCAAACCATTCAAGCGTTCAATCTGTGTTATTATGTAATAATTTTGCATTATTTTTCGCCCTTGATAGGAGTGGCCTGGCTTTAGCGGTGAGTCGGTGACCAGTTTTAACATTCTGTTTATCTAAAGCCTTGTAACTTATTGTGGAACTGGAGTCTTCTCCATTCACTCCCAAATCAATGTAGTTTATCCTACTGAATAAATTACAGAAATCGGACGTTAGGCAATTGCTATGGTCAGTGAACATTGTCACGTTGAAGTGTTTTGTTATTTTGAATACATTTTCAATCTTACTTGTCATTCTCAATACATCGCCGACTTTTCTGTAAAGGCCGGTTTCCATTTAATTGTATAATTGGCGTGAACAAGTCATTTTCAGTAATGAGAAATAGTCTAGTTGTAAATTTGTCTAGGTGGCTCGATACAGTTTCTCGAATTTTTTTAGAGGCACATTTTAAACAGGGATATTAAGCACCAAAAATATTTCACTATATAAGGCTAAAAGTTAATATACTTTGCAGGAAACATATCTAGAGCGGAAATATTCTCAGAAATTTTGCCTGGCAACCGTTACCATGGCAACAGAGACGTTTTAAAATGGCCGCCAAACAGGGTTTAATCGTGTTTATATCACAAACGAGTTCGGTGACCCCCAATTTTTTTTTCATTAAACGTTTACGCCGTAAATGCTATATCTATAAAAAAGTTTTAAAAAATTTCTAACATGGGGAATTTTTTCTATTTACAAAAACGTTATTTTTGCTTATTAAAAATTTCCTCTATGTTAGAATTTTTTTAAAACTTTTTCACAGATAAATAATCTATAGCGTAAATGTTTAATGCAAAAAAAATTGGGGGTCACCGAACTCGTTTGTGATATAAACACGATAAAACCTTGTTTGGCGGCCATTTTGAAACGTCTCTGTTTCCATGGTAACGGGTGCCCGGCAAAGGTTCTGAGAATATTTCCGCTCTACATATGTTTCCTGCAAAGTATATTAACTTTTAGCCTTATAGTGAAATATTTAGGTGCTTAATATCCCTGTTTAAAATGAGCCCAAAAAAATTCGAGAAACTGTATCGAGCCACCAGTCAATAAGTCTTAAATAGTACCTTTAACTAATACCTTATTGTTGTGTTATAAGAATTGATTACTCATACCATGTTATGCTACTTTTAATCAAAATACAAACCAAATATCGAGCGTCTGGTCACACAACGGTACCTCAGTCATTCTTTATCTCAGCGGACTCTTGATGATGATGATGTATGTCCTACATATTAATTCGCTATCTCGGGTGGCCTGCGTATTTTCATTCAATCGATTACTATACGCGCGAATCATTGAATTTTTTTTTCATTTTTTAAATAATAATAATTTAAGATATATAGATAAAATACAATTATGAAAAATTTTATTCAAGGTTAAGAATATCAAAATCGCGATTCATTGAAATACAACCTTTTCAGAAGCCCGGGTTATACTTCTTCCCATATACGACGAGACCAAAATGCGAAGTATAATAATCGATGGAATGAAAATAGCCAGGCCACCGGAGATAGCGGATTAGTACATACATTATCATCGTCAAGAGTGCGCTGGGATAAATAATGAATGAAGTGCCGTTGTGACGCTACCGAGACGCTCGATATATGGTTTATATTTTGATATAATGAAGTGCATCATTGAATTATTAATTTTATTTCGGACGCGATCAAAATGCAACGAATGAGCCAGGCTACTTTCTGAAACCATGTTCTTCGTTCAAACTCAATTACAGGCGAAATCAGGTGAACAGTTTGTAAAATCACTGTACCGTACAGGGTGGTTAAAAACCATGGCCAGAAATTGCGGACATGGAATATGGAGATTGCCGTAGCAAATTTGCATATCTGTTCAAATATTATTCGTTTGCAGAACTATAAATTATATTGCGCATTCTTAAATTTCGCAAAATTTAAGAAAATCATTGCATCTTTGCAATTTGCCCTGGTTGTTTCTTGTAATTCGTGTCATATTAAAGATCCTGAGGTAATATTTTGCTGGTAAAGGTTTATGTCGGCTCTGCATTTTTATTTATTTCTACGCTATTACGGTTTTCGTTTTATATGGTATTCAACGTGATAAATGACCGAAACTTTGTTTTGAAGATGCAGGACGAATACTGATAAAACAATTTGAAATACTATAAAAAAATATTAAGATTAACTTGCTCTGCAACGAGCAATTAAGGCAAATTATAGTCGACCTACCTAAAGGTGTATTTTTAGCGTTTAGTACTGTGCACATTACAGTTTACTATAAACTCACGAAGCTTTATTTTGACACCATATGCAAATTTAGGCGGAAGTAAAATGTTAATTATGTCCGAATTTTCTGGCCATGACTCATGCACTTCACAATAACAAAATTTGTGATTTTTTCTCCGACAGCCACTGCCATTTCACAGAGATTCGCGTAAATCTTGTTGTTGCGTTTCGGGGTAGGATTGCATGTTGAGAGGACGCAAGGATCGAGGTTTAGAATTAAGATAATCATAAGACTTGCCAGACACGTCGGCATGTCCCTTGTCGTTCAATGCGAAGAAACAAAGCTGCTATACTATTTTTTCTTATTTTAGGCTTTCGTGAAGCATGTACTTTCTACTAAAGTCGCCTTTCTGCCTCTCAGTTGCATCACTCATCCTAATGGTGTGTTGTCAAATCCTCCTTGCATCTTCATCTGATACAGACAAGATAAAGAATGGTATGAATGTGCAGACTTCAGATCTTGTATAACCCTTACATAAGCAGCTAGGCATTACATGACATCATCCAGTGCCTTTAGAGACCATCATAAGGGAGCTTAAGGATTGACTACGAATACGACTTGACGACGAGGACAAGATTCCCCAATTTCGCGCCAAAGTCGGTGCTGTTTGCCTACGTTATAATTATGACGAAACTTGTAAAAGTTGGGCTTTTAAATACAAAAATAATCAGCAAACCCGTACTTAAAAGCTCGATGACTACGAGTTTTGGCTGTTGGTGAGAGCAAACAACACGCGAATATTACGAATCTTGTACTCGTTACGAAGTCGTCGTCGTCGTCACTGCTATAAAGCTACAAATCAGTGTGTCTCTATTGCTGGTCGGCTCGCATGTTGAGAACAGAGAAAGTATAGTATATATATGTTAGCCGATATCTTAAAATTTCCTCGAAGCTTTGAGAACATTTGGAATGTACATCTCATTGAGAACGCAAGAACACAATTTCCATGTGCACGTGGCGTTCCGAGTGTGCTTTATTTTGACAGAAAATGGTGCATTTGTCGCTGTATAAACTTTGCGTTACGTATCTTGATATGTCATTTGCGTTTTCCATAGTTGAGTCACATTGCGGTTGTCGTGTTATGTACAAGCCTGTGGGGTGTGAAAAAGACAAACGTAATGACAGGGCTCTGCCAGAGATGTTGATCGATGAGAGAGATAGATCCAGTAGCCACTACAATGGTTTTGATGTTGACTGGGATAACTGGGATGAATATTTACCTGCTTTTACATGTCGCTGTGCTGAGGCAGCCATGAAGAAAGGGTATAAATATTTTGGACTGCAGTACTGGGGTAAGGTTTAAAAAAACATGTAATTAATTATTAATGAATTATTATACACATAAACCGTTTGTGTTTATTTTCCTGTAAATTACTGTTGCTACCTGAGTTTTTTCGTCTTCAACTGTAAACCTATACCCTGCATCTTAGTAAGTAAACATGCTCATCCCTTCCTGAAGCAAAATTTTCCTCTTTGCGACTTTGTGTCGTGCATGCAAGTGCCGACAAGTTTTGTGCAATTTTTGGGTCCCAAATTCACGTTTGTTTTTTGGAGTGCACTTCATCTTTAACCATTGTTTGATCGCGTGAACTCAATGATGGAAACGAGGTCTTGGCCCATTGCAGATCTAGAAATTCTTAACAATTTTTAGAGGGTTTTATAGAAAACGTTACCCAAGAATACCCAATAATGGTATTAACCTCCACTTGAGTTGTGTATACATCAAGTACCCTACAGCATTATTTCGTATGTATATTCCTGCAACACTGTCTTTGCATTCAGGGGAATGTTGGAGTGGTCCGTCACCAGCAGCCGATAATGAATATGATAAACATGGACCTGCGGATGAATGTTACGATCCACAGTATGAGAGATGTGCAGAAACATCCACTAACTGTGTTGGAGCTGAAAATGAGAATTTCGTCTACGAAATACGTAAGTCCGCTAGAGCAGAAAATTATTTCATCATCAGCTTTTCTCTTCATTATTAGTGACAGCATTTTTTCATTTCGCAGTGTGCTAAAAATGTAGCGTGTATCTATAATATCTTTGTAATCGAACGAAAGTTAGGTATGATTTAATCCTTCTGAAATTTGATAGAGTTTCATTTTCCTAAAGCCTAATCAAAAAAAAGTGCAGCATCTATTTTTCTGCGAAGCTCTTCATAATCCTGCTTTCTGTTGTAATGATGATCTTTTATTTATACAAGTCTGATATATCAATGAAATATTGAGATAGACATATAGATACAATTTTATTTAAGCAAGATAAGACCCTGTCAGCACAAACTACATGCTGGTATCAGCAGGGGGCCCCCCAAGATGATGTCAGTGGAGTATTATTAGACCCCAAATCAAATTTGGAGTCTAATAATACTAGAGGTTTTCTAACTCTACAGACCATTATTGATCTTTTAAGAATTCGTATCTTGTAAGTTCACGTGACTACTCTTTCGATGTATGACTAAAAAAATTGGCACAGCGTTTGCATTTTACAATAATCATTTATTGCTTTTAGAATACTTTAATTGCCCAGTAAAATTCGAGCGTGTTGGCTGCTATAAAGACAATGGCAAACGACCTTTGACTGATGAAATTTTGACTGATCGACAAAAAAACCTTGCCATATCGAGTGGAAAAACTGAGGATTGGAAACATTTTTATGCGTATTTGCCTGACTTCGCCTGCAGATGTGCAACAAAGACTGTGGATAAGGGATGGGATACTTTTGGTGTGCAGTATTATGGTAAGCCGCGCACCCCCCGTGATTTTCCATAACTCAATGAGGGCCATGAAAAAATGAAGAATATTGGGAATTGAAGGGGGGTTCGTATAATGCTTACATATGTTATGTTTGAAAGACGATATTGAGTATTTTTTCGCATATTTTAGTGTACAAACAACCGCATAAATTTATGATTAATTTATCCCTCAAGGGATCTGTGCGGTAGCAATGTCTAAACTGCAGCATCGAAAGGCCAGGAACAACCTTACCCCGAAAGGAAACCTGCATGAGTCGTGCGAAGATGCTGCAGTGTCCCCCAAGATGCAGGACCTAGACCTAAACAAGGTCATTTTAGATAAAAGTATCTGTGATGCATGTAAGGTCCGAGAGAACGATACGTTCCGAGGGCCTATACCTTATATGCTGCACAGATTATTAACATAATGATACTAAAAACTGTTTAGTAATGCAAATAACAGAGAATATTATAATCATGGCATGCACATGATATGGTCTTCGACGCCCAGAAAATTTCAAAATTTTCCCCTAATTAAGTGATTGACATTCTGACGAAGGAAATGTGAAATCCCACGTATAATTTGTACGCTTACGTAATGATCACATGCATTTGCGTGCAAGAACATCTCAAAAATACCCAAAACTCTTCATTACAATTAACTTTTCAGGTGAATGTTGGTCAGGAGAGAACGGTCATGAGAAATATGCAGAAGAAGGGGAGTCTTCAACATGTGTGAACGGATGTTTTGAGCCATGTGGTAGTTCTGATCCATTCTGTACTGGAAAGGAGAAAACTAACTTCGTCTACCGTGTTATCTAAAAAGGTAATAAATTAACTCCATTAGCTGAGCTTTCGGAAAATGAGTTGTATTGCTTATACTCGAAGAAAAAAACGCGGAAAATAACTAAAATAAAATAAGATTAGTGCATGATAAAACAATTATTGAACTCGGTTCTCGCAAAATATCGTGATTTGTCGGTGGCTCGCAAATCAATGATTTGCCTCTGTCTTCGGCATCGACACCGACAAATCACGATATTTTGCTCGACCTCGTCCAATAATTGATTATCATTGGGTGATTATCAATTTACAGTGGCGTAGCTAGCCTGACAATTTAAACATGCTATTGGATGAGGCTGAGCATGATATCAAGAATTATTCAGACCAAGGTCAAAGTTATCTGCCGAAGCAAACTGAGGCTAATGTGGCAATTTGCCGAACGCCATGATGATATTTGTTTTGCAATTCTGAATTCTTAATTTCGCGGGCTTTTGCTGCCGCAGTGCTGCGTACTTCGAAGTACGATAAAAAAATCAATATCCCTCGGTATGACGTCACAACCGGTGAAAATATGAAATTTAACCGGATATTGAGGTTTATTGGAGGGTTTCGACCAATCAGAAACGAGAATACAGTATAAATGTACATATAATACTAAAAATTATTTGTAGGTGGCTACCAATCAAAACAAAGATTGTATAATTATATAATTATAGTGAATGATAATGAAACTTCTTACTCTTCGTCGCTGATGTCTTTTGTGTGGCCCTAAGAAGTTTACCACCACTCTTGGCGGGAACAAAGAGCAGATTTTCTTTCTCTCGTTTAACTGTTCAGAAGAACGTTAGGATTTAAATATTAGGGAAAAACAATTTATATTACAATTATTTAAACGAGCATAGGGAACATTTAAGGAAATTAGCTTTGTTCTAGTAGGTTTTTAATTAGGATTTAAATGCGCATATACGATTAGGCAACACCTTAAAAAACAGTAAAACAACATAAAAATTAGTTAGAACCGTTCGATAGTTGTTTAGCTAAGTGTAAGATGTCGATATTTTTGTTAGTGAAATAAATCGTTGAAATGGAGTGTTGATGCGAACCCTCTTGAACATTTAACCGACTACGATATTTTACCGATAAATGCTCTCGCTAACTTACGACGATATTTTGTCTGTAGTTTTCTTATATGGCTCGAAGTAGATTTTATATCAATGGCAGCTATATAACTTTCACCTTCGTTTATACCTATGCGTGTATGATGAATTTCTTCATTATTTCTTTCAGGTGGCGTTGGCAACTTCACGTTCAATATTGTTTTACAGCTTGATAAAAAGTGATTATGTATAATCTTTACAAATCCAATTAGTATTGTCAATTAATTATACAACACACACGATATTTCACATTTTCTAATGGTATAACCAAATCAATGGATTATGAATTATTAGTTGCGGCTTTGCTTATTATTAGTTATATCAATCATCATTAGTATAATAATTATCCAAATTTATAATAATCATGCATCTCAAACGGTATTATTTTTACATTTATAATGTTATTAGCAGAAAAATAAATAAAAAGGCTTTAGCTTGCTTGTAGTTTCGTTCAGCGTGAGATGATTCTGATCATGTCATAATATTGACTCCGTAAAATGCTTTTTCATCGGATGAAAAAGTGGATACTTCATTTACGACACTTCCGAATCCTTACCTGTCCCCACCCCACCGCTCGGTTGTTGCAATTAACACAGCCATTCAGGTCTGTCCTTGTCAATAACTTTTGACTCTTAAGTAAATATTGAAATTTTTCGCTTACTAGCTACTTCCTGTTTAGAAAATGAAAGACAAGAGCCGAAAGGCAAAGTATATTACATCATAGAGAAAGTTCTCTCTTTAGCATGCAATGGAAATTGAATTACGACCTAAAATCAATTATCATTGAATTGATTTTCCTTTGATGCGACATTTTAACGAAAGTAGCTTGCTTTTCAGGATTGTTTATTATGGATGCTTAGAAATATGGATTTATTTCCAGTGTTGAAAATATATAATATATTTTTCAACAAAAGAAATAAATTCCATATTTCCAAGCATCCATGTATTATTCTTTTTATTATATAATAAGAAACTGGTTTTTTTTAAACGTTTTTTTCCTCCTTCCTGATTCAAGATCGTTAGATCAAACACCATAATCACACATGTGTTATATTATCATGAATAATCGTACATGTGTTATTATCGCTTTTCAAAATGGTGGATTCGTTAATGAAACACTGCATATTGTATAATAAATATTGTTAAATGTCAACATATAAGTTAATACATAATAATGTTTCTTGCGTTTGAGCAATAATATGAATACAACAAACACTTCATTCTGTCAGTAAAGTAATGACTACAGTAATATTCATTATACTGAACTTTTTTTCATGCAGTTGTTACTGATATTTTACTCTGGAAAATTTAACTCAATTGAAAATAAATTCAGCGTAAGTAAAATGAATTATAACTGCCCACGTTTGGATAAATACCTGAACATTCTGAAGTCTTTTGAGATAACTCACTGGTAGATTCGAATTTTAATTTATTCTATTTTAATTTAATTTAATTTCAGCAATAGCGTCGTTGAAGTACTTTGAATTCAAATTTTATTGTTAACTCCTCTTCTGCTACCATAACTTCCTGCTGTCTCCATGCAGCTCGGCTCTCTCAATTTAGTAACATTTCATTGAAATATTCAAGTAGGTCTACCGGTAATAGTTGTGAGGTAAGTTAGAAACGTTAATTTTATTCAACTAACTGTAATCATCTAATTTTTGCAACATTGTTTGTTTGGATTTGAATTACTAGAATGTTAGGTATTATAATCGTGCGGTCTGTTCACACTAAACCCGCGATCAACGTGCAGGGTTCGATCAGAGAACGACGACGAAAATATATAGATCACAAATCGATCTAGTGGGTATTTTGGTATAATTTTCGCGCGAAGCGAATTTACTCTTTTGTATTTGAGCAATTTGTTCCAGATGGTCGCAGTTGAGAGCTCTGAAACAAAAGTAAAGTGTCGCTTCGCGCGAAAAATATCGCTAGTGGAAAACCGGTTTAACATCAAATAAATAACCCTAGTTATCCGTAGTAAGCCCTAATAATATAATAAATTCCAGTGCTCTTGTAAACCCTATACTTGCCTAGTAACAGATACGAATCTAATTTGTGTGTATATATATAATATATTATGTGCATTTAGTATATCAAGCGCATTTATTTTGCACAGTCGTTCGTCTTAACCATTCTCATAGTTAGAAAATGTTCAAATAATGTTATAAAACAAACGCACCCATGATTTTGCTGGCAACTTATAAACAAGTAATGTATTTTTTCGATCATGACTTCAGTATAGAGTGATCACTCAATAACCGGTTAAACAAATAAGATATGCATAAGAAGGGAGCCACCAGACGCGCAACAAACATTTGCAGCGAACAGGTGTTAAAGACGTCGTGCCACATTTGTTAGCATGCATGTATAAATATTATATGCATTGTGCACGAACGTTTTGGAAAAGAACCGCGCGTTTATTTCCTCAATTGATCAATTTTTTTGCGCGATTTGGAAATTTGGTGACTTTAGGCAAACGTGAAAATTATTTACCTAATATGACTATGTAGTTAATAACTTTGCTGATGTTGTATCATAAAAACACGTTGTCCAGCTTTCTTATACGCGTTGGTCTAAATTTCAGGCTGATTTTGTCAGCGGGTAATTTATAAAAAAATGAGATTTCCAGGTGAAAAGCAAAGCTTTACATTCTTATTCCCCTTATAAGTTTGCTGCATGTAACACGCCTTTAGCTCAGACGACATTAACCTTAATTTATTCCGATTATTCGATATTCTTATCGTATTCCTAATACCTTGTACGCTGATTGTGTGATTCATAAACCGTCGAGAATGTCTACACCTTAACCTAAACCTTGATATAATAATCTTAGATGATTAGGTTATCGGCATTCTAATTTCCTTTTAGAAAATTTGTAGCTATATATCAGTGTGTTTTTGAAATTCGTGATGTGGTCCAGAATTTATTTTTTACTTTTGAACTGGTGCATTTCGTACAACTTCATCATGATTGCGACAGACAAGAGAATTAAACAAGAGAATATCTGTTGGAATTCAACGTATGAGGGTATGATAAGTTCATGGTTTACTTATGATAATATAATAATATATAATGTTATTCTGTTCTTACTGACTGATTTCTATATTGTAAACCATTGCACTTACAAAAGAAATCCGTCGGCCAGAATTGTATACATAAGTAAACGCCCCTCCCCAATTATCGTTCAATAGTTACGCCACTGCTTCTTTGGTGCAAGACGTCTCTGTCTGCTGTTGTGTACGAGTGTGGCAGCTCTTTATGTGAACCTGTTATATCATCTGTGTAAGGGTTGAACTGCTTGATATAGTATCAGTTTGGAATTTCTGGAGATAGTTTGACAAAACACACGAGAATTTATGAAGTTACAAACTTTATACGTCATTTCATTACATATCCAAATCGAAAAATATGCATGAAAACCATTGATCCATTGTAAACAGAAGTGGAAATACGGCCAAAATTTCCAACAACTCAGTGGCTTAGCCAGCCGGACAATTTAACCTACTTTGCTAATTGTTTCGGGGCCAATTACATGAACAGGGCTAGCCCGGCACCCGTTTCCTATAATTTTATTATCGCAAGCAATTTTTGATGTTTCGATTACATGGGAACTTTCAGCCCACTTTGCCGGGCTACCCCGGTTATGTCAACCAGACTGAACAGTTCGCATGTAATCGTTTCAGCCCGGAAAACCAGGCTACAAATTCGCCAACGCATGCGCAGTGTTACACACATGCATAAACAACAATGGCTTCTGCGTTTGCGAAATTTTTTTCGTTTGCTAAATTTCAGCCCGGCAAAAATTGCTCATAAACCGTTTGCTAAATTCCAGCCTGGCAAACGGGCTAGCCAGGTCCATGTAATCGGCCCCTTAGTGTTTATTGACTGCGACAAAGAGAACTCTACAATGATATAAACAATTTGCATAGCAGGAGTAAATCGTAGGGCAACAGCTTATCTTCCCATCTTATAGTTTATTAAGCCCCGCTTACACTACACTCGATTTATTGGCACCGCACGGGTAAAATGGGTGCCGGCCGTGCCCATTTCATCCGTGCCCCGGCCTTTGTTTTGGTAGCTTGAGCACTAATTAATTGAGCATGCACGGCACCCATTTTAGCCGTGCCGTGCTGATAAATTGAGTGTGGTTTAAACGGGGCTTAATTGAATTGACTAAAACATTGCTTATAATTATGTAGTTAGTGTTACTTGCATTGTAGGTTTCAGACTTAGTACAACCGTGTTCACAACAATCAAGGTGTCCAAACCGAAAGATTGCATAGTGGAATGTTACAAGAGACCATATTGCTGTTCAGTTAACATTAAAAAGACGTCAACGAATACAACGATTGAGAAAAATCTTACTTGCGAAATATTGCAAAATTTGTGCAATGGTACAACTTATAAATTACTGGAAAGGAACGTTTCCTATGATTATTTGTTTCTTTTGACGCCAGAAAAGGTATGATTAAGATTAATTGAAGTAATTTACAGTACTTGAAAGTAGTATGATTATTAAAGTACCAGCCTTACTGCAACTTCGGTATGACTAACTACAGGGTGTCTCAAAAAAACCGAAAACCTTTGAAATCACGCATAACAATGTAATTGTTAGAGTTTGAATGCCTAAGCACTCTGTTGGGACCCACAGGTGTGTAAATGTTTGCCATAGGCATTTTTATGCATGCACACTGCAAAAAATAAAATGCTTGAAACAAGAAAAAAAAACTTGTTTTGAGAAAATATTTCTTGAATCAAGAAATATTTTCTTGTCCCGTGGGTAAGAAAATTATTCTCGTCTAGATTTTCGCAAGAAGAAATATTTTCTTAAAATAAGACAAATTATCTTGTGTTACAAGATAAATAATCTTGTTAAGAAAATTTTACTTTTTGTCCCGTACGCAAGAAAATAATTCTTACTAAGAAACGCTTTCTTGTTTTAAGGGAAAAAATCTGGTCAAACAAGATAAATAATCTTGCTAAGAAAATTCTACTTTTTGTCCCGTACGCAAGAAAATAATTCTTACCAAGAAACGCTTTCTTGTTTTAAGGGAAAAAATCTGGTCAAACAAGATAAATAATCTTGCTAAGAAAATTCTACTTTTTGTCCCGTACGCAAGAAAATAATTCTTATTAAGAAACGCTTTCTTGATTTAAGGGAAAAATCTGGTCAAACAAGATAAATAATCTTGCTAAGAAAATAATACTTTATTGTTTCATACACACGAAAATATTTCTTTTTTCTTATTAATTTACAGAAAAATATCGTTAATCAAGATAAAATTATTTTTTCTTATTGTTTTACGCTGTGGCATACACAAGAAAATATTTTTAAAAAACGCTGTAAAGGAAAGAACAAGGGAAATTTTTCT